AGGTCAGTAATCCTAGCTGACTGAGACTGGGGTGAGTCATGGTGTGAAGATCCTATCAGGAGTGACTTTCCATCTCTCAAGAAATAAAATTGGGGGCTGGCAAGTGGCATGGTGGTCAAGGGCACTGGACTCCCACATGGCTGACCACGGTTCAAGTCTCGGACCTGGCCGCTTGCTTTCTCACTTCCTCTCTCTCTCTCCATCTCTCTCTGATCAAACTGGAAAATAATAATGATAATAATAATAAATAAAGTTAAATAAAATAATTCTTTAAAAAAGAAATAAAATAAATAAACTTTATATAGAAAATTAGTAATAAACTTTTTTTTTAAACGAAAAAGTACAACTAAGAAAGAATGAAATAGGTGGCACAGTGGTTAAGGCACTGGACTCCCACATGGCCAATCATGGCTCTAGTCCCAGACCTAGTGTCTTGAAAATTGCTCTGGGTGTATATGCATGCATGCCCAAAGTCCTAAGAGGAGACAGAGGAAAAGGGATTCTGGCATAGTCATCCTCTCTGGGGGATGATTTCTCACTTTTTCTCTCACTGTCTCTCTCTGAATCTATCTGGTGAGTGTGTACACCCTTTGGTAAAAATGTTAAAAGAAAAAAATGAAATTTTACAGATTAAAAGAAACTTAAGGAATATTAACCAAGTGAAATATGTGAATCTTGTTTGCAACAGGATTCCAATTAATTTTTCATCTGACCAAAGAAAATAGCATTTAGACAGGATATCAGCTTTTATTAAATAATTATTATTTATGATACTAAATGATATAGTACTTTAATGGTTATGTTTTCCTTGATTCCTGATATATTACAGATAGATAGTGATGAATTTCAGAATGACATAGCTAGAATTTAGATAATATTTTTTATAAATTTATGTAGTTTATCTTACTTTTTAAAAGTTTTCTGCAGGGCACATGTGCTACCAGAAAGAGACAGAGAGATAGAGAGAGGGAAAGTGAGGAAGCCACCTACCACGTTCAAGACTTGGACTACAGTTGGCCATGTGGGAGTCCAGTGCCTTAAACACCATGACACTTGCTGGCCCCTAGAGATGATAGAAGATTTATAACTTTGGAAGTTTGATAATAAATATATTTGATAATAATCTCTCTACTACATATGCTCTAAAATCTCTGTAAGAAAATGCTTCTAAGACTTTTAATCTAATTTATATATGAGTTTTATATACACTTGCAGCAGGTATAATATTCATTTAGAAATCATTTATTATGATTTATAATTTATATTAATTTTTTTTCTGAAATGTTCTCCAAAATTTACATTGTTCTTATTTGTTGTACTCATTGACTAATACTAGTTATCAAAATCCATTACTGAGGAGTGCTTCTGGCATAGAGCTGTGGCAAGTTAATTTCCATGCCTAGCTGTTATTTTCAACTGTATATTCAATATATGCATATACAGTTAGTCCTCCCTTACCTAGAATTTTTCTTACACTTACTCATAGTCAACCATGTTTCAAAACTATTAAATGGAAAATTCCAGAAATAAATAATACTTAAGTTTTAGATTGGATGCCATCTTCAGTAACATGATAAAGTTCTCACCTTCCCACTCTGTCTCACCCATGATGTGGATCATCCCTTTGTCTGGTGTTCCCATACTACATACAGTATCTGCCCCTTAGTCGCTTAGCAGTCTCTTATCAAATTGAAGGAACAATCCTATAGAGTTCAGTGTTACACATGGTTTCATACATTCACTAGAGTCTTGGAATGTTTCCTGAGGAATAATGGTATCATTTAAATGTGTGCTTGTATGTGTATATTCTACCTTCATTTTTTTTCTTACCAATTATCTTCATATTCTTTCTGCAATATTTTATTTTAAGTTTTTTTTTTACCATAGAGCCTATGCACTCACCAGAGAAAGACAGAGAGAGAGAGAGAGAGAAATTACCCCCTAGGGGAGATGGCCATGCCACAATTCCTTCTCCGAGGATGACACTCTGCAATCTCTTCTCCTCCATTCTCCTCCTGGGATCTTGGGCACATATACACATGTGCTTGGCGTGATTTTCAAGCCACTGGGTCCAGGACTCGAACAGCAGTCAGTCATGTGGGAGTCCAGCGATGTAACTGTTATGTGATCTGCTGGTCCCCCCATTCTTTTCTATTAATAATAGGGGTTTTTAATTTTTTTTAATTTTTTAATCTCAAACACTTTCAAACGCATTTGCATTGTTGATAGGCTGACAGTCATTATTAAGCCTGGAATAGGCTTGGAATATTTTACTATGAAGATCTCCTGAATTGTATCTTTCCACTCTGAGAAGTTATGCCAGAAGGATTAAGTCTGACTACAGGCATAATATACCTACTGCACCTACCTACATGGCCATAACTGAGGCTTTTCCCAAAGGCTGCACTATTTCAAGCAAAAGTGCTACATTTGTGAAGATTCCGATTGGCTAAAATGTGGGGGAGGAAAGGTCCAGACCCAAGTAATGCTGTTAGGTTTCCTCTGATCCATGTACGCAGCCAGCAGACCCTAACTCTGGCCAACTTGTTGGATATAACTGAGATCTTGGCAAGGGATGTGGTTGAATTACTGTAAATTCATTTCCTCTGTCGGCAAAATCTCAGAACACATGCCCCACAGATGGTGGATCGGTGCCACTTTCACATATAAAATAGAACACACTTAAAATCATCCCTTGCTGACAAACAGCTGGGTCTATAAGGCCCCTAATCCAGTTTTCATGCCACATCTATCAATGCCAGCCACCATCCAAGCACAATAACCAGCTGGGGAATTGGGTTCTATAGATTTCCATAATGCCACTAAAAATGCCTTGCATCAAGGGAAAATCTTAATGTATCTTAGTCTCTGCCATTCCAGCTCCCTCATTTTTTCATTCTAGAAGTTTAATGATAATAATAAACAGCTTATAATTCTTCTAAAAATATTCTATTTTTTAAAGCATCAAAATACCAAAATTTGGGAGCTGAATTAAAGAAATTGCTGAAATGTTATTACTAGCTTCTCTGAAATTTTCTCCTCTTTGAAAATTAAATAATTTTTAACTTAAATAATGAGCTTATACTTTTATTTGTTTGTATTTTCTAGTTCATGCTAAATTTAGCAGTGGTGCTACCATTTAGCATGAATTAGATAAAATGTTTTAGAACTTTATTTAAATTTTTTTTTTAAGTTTTAGGACTTTTTGCTATAGGGCTTGTGCGCTCGCCAGAGAGTCATAGAGAGACAGAGAGCGAGAAATCACCCACGCATTCACATGTGCCAGTATGAATTCCTGGGTCTGGAACTTGATCTTCGGTCATCCCTGAGGAAGGCCAGCATTTCGCCATCTGCTGGTTCCAATGTCTTAGAACTTTTAATAGTCAAATTTCAAATGAGTCTCAATTGCTGTGGCACCATGCTACTGCATGATGGCTGAAGCTGAATGGGAAGTCTGGGTTCTGATCCCAGCCTGCACTAAATAGTGCAGCACAGAGCATGTACTAATAACTACTTGGGAAGTTGGAGGGAGAGAATCTTGGCATGACCAGACTCTGTCAAGAATAGTTCTCTCTCCCTCTCTCTTCCTCTCTCTCTACCTCTTTCTTTCTCTCTTGTTCACGCTCTACCTTTCTCTCAAAAAATAAATCAAAATTAATGAGAAGGGTTGTCAATTTAATGAATGACTTTCCCAGAAGCTCAGAACAAGCACTCTAATTTTCTAGAACTCTGCCACATTTTAAAGAAAATCTTTTATTTTCTATATGGTGTCAAAACAATTTACCATCTTATACCAATATCAATGTTTGCATATTATATAAAGTATATTATAGGGACCAGCAGTTGGTGTAATGGCTGTGTCACTGGACTCCCATGTAGTTGACCATGGTTCGAATCCCCCCCCGGACCCGGTGGCTTAAACTCACGCTGGCGCGTGTGCGTGCGTAAAGAAGATCCTGAGAGGAGAATGGAGGAGAAGGGATAACGGTGTGACCATCCCCCCTGGTGGAGGTGATTTTTCACTTTCTGTCTCTCGGTTTCTCTCTGTCTTTCTGGCAAGCACGCATGCCCTATAGCAAAAACTTCTCCAAAAAAAAATTTTTTTAAGTATATTAGAAAAGTATTACATATGAATAACAAATGAAAGAACGATATATTCATTCAATAGATGATAAATAAATGCTAATTTTATTAGAAAACCCCTGTTTTCTAATAAACCCGTTTTAAAATTTTTATAAAAATTTTTGCATAAATTCAACGTTTTTTTCTTCTTTTTTTGGAGAGTTTTTTGTTTTTTGTTTTGTTTTTTGGTGGTGTTTTTGTTTGTTTGTTTGTTTGTTTTGTTTGTTTGTTTTGTTTTGTTTTGTTTTTGCTATAGGGCACATGCGCTTGCCAGACAGACAGAGAGAGACAGAAAGCAAGATACCCCGTCTCCTCCATTCTGCTCTCGGGATCTTGGGCACGCATGCACATGCACCTGGCATGAGTTTAAGCCACCAGGTCTGAGACTCAAACTGCAGTCGACTACGTGGGATTACGCTAACTGCTGGTTCCTTCAACTTCTTAATATGCATTAAATATACTTGCTGAACTTCACCAAAAGTCACATAATCACTGATTTTTTCCTCTTCAGTCATTAAACATTTTTTTTTCTTAAATACTTAATTATTTATTGCCATGACTAACTATTTGGTCCAAAATGAAAGCTATATGCAAGATTGCATCTCATATGGGAGTAACAGTTAATGAAATGTCTTTCCAAAATAGAGTGCAAGCAGTGTAAAATTGATGTCGACTTTCTTCCAGAATGATCGAGACTGAATAAAGGATGAAATAAGACTTTATAGCCACTGCACTGGATACTTGGATCACTTTTCAAGCATCGTCCCCTGGTTGAAACTTCTGTTTTACTCTATTTTCAATTTAAAAACATAGAATAATCACTTGGAATTCTCTACATACAAAGGATTTAATTACAAAGTCTCTTGTATTTATAGACAATAACAAAAATATTGTTCACAAATTTGTATTTCATCCTCATTCAGGAGGCATGTTAATGTTCTCCGTATCATTCCAATATTAGATGTGCTACCAAAGTGAACACCTGTTTCTAAACATTAATTCAAACCCTTTGACAGTCATTACATGAAGACAGTCAAAGGAAATGAACAAGATGGCACAGGAATATGAAAGAATTTTAAGAAAGAAAACTATTAGCCTTCTTGGTGGTAAAATTGTTAATAAGTGAGAGGAAGAAAGAAATTAATTCCATATTACTAGAAGTCTCGGACACCTTACCTCTAACAAGAAATTATTAGAGCGGTTGATAGCCACATTGTGTGCTTGTTCATAACTCCCTAGATATACATGGTTACTGCTTATAGAGCACATGGATATAAGATTAAAATTTAAGAATTTCTAAGACTGTAGTCTCAGTAATATTACAAAGAAAATAAAATATTTCTTATTATAGGGGGAAATCTCAAATGCACTGAGAGGTTTTTAAAAGAGACTGCTCGATAATTTGTGAAGAAATCTAGAGTTTAGCAGAACTTTGCCTTGGGCTAGTGTAGCACATACCTATAAAGTGACATTTCAGCATCATTTGTATGCTAGATGCCACAAAGGTATTTCCTCATTGGAAACCTACTCTCTTTCAAGCCTTCAAAATGTAAGATAGTTGAAATTTTTTAAATTACAAAAGAATAGAATAAGAGACTAAGGAATGAAGAAAGTTGCTTCTTGGATCTAATAAATGGCATAAAGTCAAATATTTGTCATTGAAATTAAAAGTTGCAAAACAGTTTAAAGAGATCAAAATTTTCAGCAAAATGTTGGACTATGAGAGTATGAGGTAAAATTATGCAACCATTAAAACTTTGCTTTCCAAGACAACTAATGTCAAGAAAATGTCCATGATACAATATCAATTTAAAATTCAGTATATATAACTAAGTAGCTACATATTTGGGTATAATAATGAAAACGTGTTGTATTTCTTGATTATTTAACATCCTTTCACTAAACATTCAGGAATTTTCTGCCTTTTAAATCCTGAGGGAAGGGGGAACCAGCAGTTAGCGTAATGGCTAGGTCGCTGGACTCCCACGTAGTCGACCGCAGTTCACGTCCTGGACCCGGTGGCTTAAAACTCACGCCGGGCACATGTGCGTGCGTGCCCAAGATCCCGAGAGGAGAATGGAGGAGAAGGGATTGTGGCGTGACCATACCCCCTGGGGGGTGATTTCTCGCTTTCTGTCTCTCTGTCTCTCTCTGTCTGTCTGTCTGGCGAGTGCACGCACCCTATAGCAAAAACCTCCCCCCCCCAAAAAAAAAAAAAAACCTGATGGAAGGCAGGAATAGCCTACCAAATCTAGGGGTCAATGTTCTTTTCCCTCTATTTCTTTGCAGTTAAGGCATAAACATGTAAATTGTCTTGCTACTGTCACACTTGGGCTCAAGAGCTACTGTCCCAAGACGTGGGTGGCAGGGAGTATTCTGTGCCACAGCAGCAGAAACTGCTCCTCCTACAGAACTACCAGGTTGTCAGGAAAGTCATGAAGCATTTTCGCATAGAAACAGAAAAATATGTCATGACTTTCCTGACTACCTAATAGTTTGGGGATAAGGCTATTTCCCCTGGCTCCTTAGTAAATATGATTCTCTTGGCCTCTCCCCAATTCTCTATACTTCCCAAGATTCACTTCATAAATTTCTTTCCTGCTTAATTAAACTATAATCAGCTTCAATTGCTTCCAATTAAGAACTCTCAGTGACATTTACCAAAATGTTAAGTATAGGTTATCTGAAAGGTTTATGAGTTATTTTGCTTACTTCTTTATACTTGAGTTTATTGCCGATCTAAAGATATATTATTTTATAATCAGAGTGAAGAATATTGTATCTTAAATCAGAGTTTTCTTTAGTGTTTAATTAGTTAATTTAATGAAACATTAACCATGACCAGAGTACATCTGGCTGGTACCAAATTACAAGAGCCAAATGCACACATCTCTTTCCAGTTCTACTTTCTGTGATGTCACACGAGTAGTTGAAGTCAGACATGGTGGGAGTATTTATGTGATGGAAATTGGCATGACCATTTTTTTTCCTAGGAAGCTGGGTTTTTTAAATCTAGGTCTTTTTTATTTTCTACAGAACTAACCATCTATCAGAACAATGTGGCCCTAAATATATTTAAGCTCTATTCTGTTATCAAATTTCTTTCCAAGTTATTAAACATTGCTCTTTGCCAGGAGTCTTAAATTTTGAAGGCTTGAAGCAGTAAGCTCAATGGTTTCCACAGGATGCGTCTGCTGCGAACAACGCTGACCCAATCACTCACTATGCAAAGTATGGCCCATAAAATGACAGTATCAGAATTACCCGAAAACATATTAGAAATACAGTTTCAGGTTCTACCCAGCACCATTGAATGTAAATCTTCCTTTTAACAAGATCCCTGAATATTCCCATTAAAATATGAAAAACAATAACTCAAGAGGCTAGCGAGTAGTGTGATGGTTAGAGCACTTGATTCTCACATGACCAGCTGTGATTTGAGCTTCAGACCTGGTGGCTCTCTCTCTCTCATCTCTCTCTAGTGAGCACAAGTTAAAAATATTAATATGAAGAACAAAAAGAGCGAAAGAAACAGTAAGTCAAACAATTATGATTTGTTTTTCCCACATAGCCAGAAGTCTGAAAGGTGAGAACAGTACTAATTTAATGTCTTTTTTTATATACATGTATTTATTTATTTATTTATTTACTTATTTTAATTTGACCAGAGAGAGAGAGAGAGACAGTGGGGGGGTGGGGGGTTAGTGGTGAGAAAGCAAGCCACCAGGTCTAGGACTTGAACCATGGTTGGCCATGTCAGAGTGTCCAGCACTTTAACCACCATGCCACCTGCTGGCCCCAACTAATTTAATATCTTAGGAATGTTAGGGTACTTACAGAGTACCCTCTCTACAACTCTTTGGTTTTCCCTTCAAGGTAACATAAATAACAAAACTTTCAAGTGTCTAATTGTCATATATAAAACATAAAAAAGATGTATAAAGGTAACATAAATAACAAAACTTTCAAGTGTGTAATTGTCATATATACAATATAAAAAAGATGTATCTATTTTTTTAAAAAATATTTTATTTAACTTTTATTTATTTATTTATTTATTTAAATTTGAGCAAGACAGAGAGAGCAAGAGAGAGGAGAGAGAATGAAAGAAAGTAAGCCACCAGGTCTGGGACTCAAACTGCAGACAGCCATATGGGAGTCCAACGCCCTTAACCACCACGTCACCTGCCAGCCTCACAACACAGAAAGTACGTATCTTTATCTTTTTATTATAACCACAAGATATTGTCCTCCAATTCTTTTTTGGCCAGAAATGACTTGCATGCTTATTCTCCAGATTCAGGGCTGATCGTATCATGAAAGGTGGCTTCTGTCATAAAGACAAAGGAAACCAAAAATGACTATTGGAAAAGTGACCAAACGTCAAACCAAATAGCATCAAGTTTTCATTTACTATAGCATATGCATATATTTATACACATATGTTCATATATATATACACATATATCACTTCATTCCTCCCCATGGAGACTGAAAGCCACTGTACATAATTAATTTTAACACAGTGCTCCTGAATATAAATTTAATATTTAAAAACAAAAGCAAAAATTATTAAGTCTATTAAGATATTATATACTGCCTTTTCTGATCACTCTATCAACCTAATTCTAATGCATGCTCTAAGCCCTGGGGTATAGGAAAATTATTTGCTTTATTTATCATTTATGCAAGGACCAGCAGATGGCATAATGGTTACAATGCTGGACTCCCACATGGTTTACTGTGGTTTGAGTCTCAGATCCAGTGTCTTAAAATTCACACCAAGTGCATGTGCATGCGTATTCAAGATCCCAAGAGGAGAATGGAGGAAAAGGGATTGCAATGTGGCCATTCTCCCGGGCGGGAGGAGGGGGGGATTTTTCACTTTCTGCCTCTGCCTCTGTCTCTCCAGTGAGTGCACACACCCTATAGAAGAAAAACTCTCAAAGAAAAAAGGAAAAAAATCATACATATATGAGAAAAGAATAAGAATTATTTTATATTTTTATTACAAATAAGCTTGTATGCTAATAGAATGGAAAGTACCTGGGTTCTTAATTTTTAAGATTAAATGATGATATGAAGATTTACCTTTCAATTTGCACAGTAAACAAACTGACACTAAAATGAAGTCAAACTATAAACTAAGGAAAGTAACATCTAAAAATATTTTTTAAATACTCCACTGAGACTATGAAACATTCTGATGAGTTTGAGATAAACTAAAGGTATGGTATGGCATGTCAAATTGGGACTCCCTGTGAACTAATCTTATTCTTAGTGTCAAAGTGTCTTGTGGATTATATCACTCCTTGGAGGGAAATACACTGGCTTAGATTGACAGAAAATGAAGATGAAGTAGAAAATATTAGTGACCTTGAAGATACAAGGAGATGCCAATGGGCATTGACAACAAAAGCCCCAGAAAAGACTGCTCTCTCTAGTTAAAGAATCATAAAATAGGCAGGCTAAAAAGACAGAAAACATTTTTTAGAGTCCACTGTACTCTAGCCAAACCTCACAGAAGCAAAAAAACATGGCTTCACCTTTTCCCAAGCCAGAATAGGCTAAGTAGGGACCCTAGTCCCCCCCAGTAGGATGGTAACAGAGAAAACTGAGTAGAGAACCTGGACATTCACCCTCAGGTGGCAGTAATAAGGCATCCTTCCTTCCTCCCAGACCCCAGTGGGAGTATCCAAGGAGTCCTCATCAAGAGTCAGGGCCTACACTACTGCCCAATCAGAATACCAACCCACTAGGGGTGTCAGAGAAGGAGCGACACGGAGTGGCACTAACAAGGCACTTTGACCCTTCCCATCCAGAAAGGAATCAATGGAGACCTAATAGGGAGCCATGGTTGCTCGGGCCAACAGAGCTCAAGTGGGTATCATGGAATTCTATTCCTCACCTGCAAGTAACAAGGAGTTGCTCCCTGACCCTTGACAAAGCAAAGTCAGAGAAACCCAGAGAAACAGCAGAATT